TAACAAAACAGCAGAAACAACACAGCATCATCTAATGGACAAAAATAAATTGCTCGTGAATAGAATTCAAACTACATACAACAACATCAAAAAGCTTTGCAAATATATATCTCTACAGTTAGAATGAACAAATAGATAATAGAGGGGTTAAAAGAAAAAAAAAACGGAACAAGAACATGATCCCCCAACCCCAAACAGGACACGCACACAATCATAAACTTTACAAAACTGGCGTCACATACTCTAAATTTAAAACAAACCCAGCGAAATATTTGAAAAAATTATCAATAATTCTTCATTCTTAAAAAACGATTTAATTGTTAAATGCTTCGTTGTGTAAAATTCTAACTTTCCAAAATTAATGTCTTGATAATGTACAAAACATTTTGCTGGGTTATTTTCATATTCAAATAAAAGACACCAGCAAATTTCAACTAGACCACAGAAAATAAAGCAAATAAAATGTTTTCGTTTTTTTTTTTTTTTTTTATTTAGAAAATCGTTGAAATTGGCGATAAAATTTTGCCACAAAAACAATAAAATGTGGAAGACAAAAGTGGTTGGGGGTTAGCTTTAGTTTGGGTTGTGGAGCCTTAAAATGAGGGGGAGATTAAAGTTTTGTAAAGAAATTGGTAAATAACTGAATTCTTGATAGTAATTTTAATTCCATAAAATATTTGTTTTTCTCGTTGTTTTTGCTAAATAAACCCAATACAGTGTGAAGCAGAATAATGAAGACAAGTTAGGGATTTTCACTTATACTTATGTAAGTTTGAAAGTTTTATTATTATGACATATAAGTTAAAGGAAATATTTTAAGATTTTGTTGTTTTCAAATTATTATCGTTCGCTTAGATTTTGTAATAACAACTATTAGTTATACTGTTTAATAACAATTTATCCATACATATACATATATAGGTCGCGTGGCTGGTTATTGTATAATTTATAAATTTATAGGGAAAACAGAAAAGAGTGTGAGATAGACCATGGGGGAATATATAGAATGTGACACATTCCAATGTCACTAGCAACCAACGAAACCAGCCATCCAGACAGCAAAGCAGACTGTCAGTCAGAATGAAAGAACATTTATATATTTATGTATGTATATTTCCTATTAGTTAAAACCAAAATTATAGAAACGCTTGTGTTTAACTCCAAATAGACACAATTCTCCTGTCAAACCCCCATTCTATACTCGGGAATATTGCAAAAAATAAACTTAGACAGACAAACAGACTTTAAATACAGGACATTTGGTTACATATATACAAATACCATGACAAAAATTATATTTATATGAATGTATTTGTGTTTTTGTTGTCGTATCTGTGTTTGCTTGGCATAAAAGAAAAACAACATAGAGAAATATCAACAAAACACAATATATATAGAGATACAGGATACAGAAAACTACTACACATTCATACACTCACTAAAATATTCTAAAGATACAACATATAACATAAAGATACTTAGATACTTGGTAACATAAACACAGGAGGACATATCACCATCGTCGACGTCGTCATAGTCATAATCATTGTTTGGTTATTGTTGTTGTTGTTGTACTGCTACCAAAACTAACAAAAGTAGGTCAAAATGTTTATGAATTGCTTTTGCTTTTCTTTGCCATTCTTTTCTATTGCTGATTTTTTCTTGTGTTTGTATTGCTATATTGCTGCTGACTGCCACTGATGCTTGCTTAAGCTCAAACTGTGGCGTACGGATTTTTTGTTTTTGGTAAAAAGCTACTACTATAATAATAACAACCTTAAAACTGCCTTTTTCCACCACCATCACCGTTACCAACATCATCTGCTTATTCTTTAGCTACTGTTCTGACATTCTAAATATTTGTTTCTTGGCCAACTTTGAATGTCAAATCCAAAAGAAAAAGAGTGAAACAAAGAAAAAAATCGATAAGAATTTTTGCAAAATAAATACATTAAGAATTATATGTTGGAAAGTAAAATAAAGAATTGTTATTAGTAATTTGATAAAAGAAACAAATATGTAGAAAATTTATATTAAAGTTTGATTTGTGACCTGTATTAACTAGTTCAGTTTGGGTGATAGGAAATGTAATTTCTATTACTACCCAGAAGCAAAAAGAAATATACACGCCTGGTATCAAATTGACACCAAACTGTTTTTAATTTTTAAATACCATCCGTTGTCAAAGTATGTACATACGTACGACAACACTATGTAATGTTACCAACATTGCAACAATTCGTTGTCGAAATCTAAATTTTATACACATCCGTTGTCTAAGTGTTAACAAACGTTGTAAGCTCGCTATTGACAAACAATCCGTTACTAATAGTGAGCTTACCACGTTTGTTAACATTTAGACAACGGATGTGTATAAAATTTAGATTTCGACAACGAATTGTTGCAACGATTCGACAACGAATTGTTGCAATGTTGACAAAGTTGCGTTGTCAACATTACATAGTGTTGTCGTACGTATATATATACTTTGACAACGGATGTTATTGAAAAATTATAAACTGTTTGGCAAAATGGACTTAAGACTCTATCTTATCAGGGTTGGTTAGAGTTAGTTCACTGCGCGCGAAAAGTCGAAATACGAAATACTTCTACTAAACAAATGTTTAGGATAACACCACCTTATCTTAGTCATTTTTTATAATTCCGTCTTGAAGTAGTTTTATATAAAATTTTACACCGTTGACAACTCTACTCACTCCAGATAAACTAAACGAAGTAAATTGTCTTTAATAGAGGTTTTCAACTAATAACGACTTAATTTGAAATTTTTGAAGAATTTTCTAATACAAAGCGAAGTCACATAGTTACCCAGACCTTCCTTAGTAATCCATAGAAAAATCAATCTCTTGTTTTATAATAATACCTAAAGACATTCTTTGGTAACCAACACAACTACATACACTTCCTGTAGGATTATCAAATAAATTTTGCATGTGTTCATAAATTGTAGGAAGTAAGTAAATATTTATGGTTTTCGCTTCCTAGAATTTTCATCGCGAAAAAAAAAGAAATCATAATAATAAATCTGTCACAAATGACACAACAAGTGTAGTAAAATCTTTTCCAACTTAAGACAAATGAAATTAAACTGTTTAAAAATAAGAATAAAGAAAACAATAAGATCTTATTAACGTTTTGTATTTCATTTTTTAACAATTTAATCCTGACAATAATTTCTGATTTCGTGTTTCCTTTTTGTACAAATATTCTACAGAAATGAAAAAATAAGAAAATCTTACTGTAACTGAAGGTTGCTGAGGGAAGGTCATACTTATTTTCGTATTGTTTACAATTTATCATGTTGTTTGGTAAGCGGCTTTTAAATTATCATCCTATTTGTAAAAATTGTTTTTAAATTTTAGTTTAATTCGTTTAATAAGCTTGTGTTTGTTATTGAAATTATTTAAAAACCAATAAAAAAAATTAAAACAAATTCAGATATACCAAATACTTTTGCATACGGTCGAGTACAAATAAATTCAATAAATAAATAAAAAGTCGTCCTGTTATGAATTTATAGTATAATTGAAATTGTCATTAATACGAAACGATTGTATAGAGATGTATATCACAAACACACTTGTAAACAATCACTTGTTTAATACAGTGGGAGATTAAAGTAATTAAACCTTAGTTTTCAAAGGCTAAATTTGATGCTGAGAATAAAATGGTAAATACATTTTTTAATAGAAAAAAATGTCTTTGAATTAACTTAAAATCGATGACCTTACGAAAACTTTTGCCTTTAACTATAACTTTATATATCATTATTTTTTTCTTCCATATATATATACTTAAATATTTGTATGAAATGTGTATGTGTTATGTATTAAAATTATTCTACTACTACATGTCACCGGCAACCACACATGTTTCCCTTCCACATTTCTGTATACCGGGCATTGATTTTAACACATATTTTTATCTCGATATCATTGATTTCATTTAGACAGTTTCATATTCCGCGAATCCACTTGAAGCAAAAAAATAAAAAAAAAGTTTAAAATGCAAAATAAAAAAAAAATAGCGGAAATTTATATCAATTGTTATCGACTTGATGATAAATTAAATGAATTTAATGAGTTCGTGATTTGTGATGGTAGTTTTTATTTTTAATGCAAAGTTTTTGCTTTCACAGTTCAATAACTAGTATGTATAGCTGGCAATTTTTGTGAGATTTTCAATGGTTTTAAATGAGATTTATTATTGTTGGAAAATAATTTATATTGTTATTGTTAAACAGTTGTTGTTTCTATTAAATTATAATTTAGCAAATAAGTGAAAAAAACATCCTCCTGACCCATATTTATAATTGCACTTAAAAAGTTTTTGTGGATGGTATGGTTATTGAAACCAACAATAGATTTGTTTGTGGTTGTTTTAAAAGTAAAAGTATTTCTTAATTTTTTTTAGAAATACTATAGTTTAGTTAAGTTGTTGAGCTCTCTAAAGTTTGACAATAAAAATTCACTTGTTTTTATAATTATCAATTTCTATAACATGAAAAGAAGACAAAAGGGCTCCAGCTGCGCTTTAATTTTTCAGTTTTTTTTATTGGAAAGTTGCATGACACAAAAACGCACCTACATTGGCACCACACTTTAAAACATTGATGTCAACGAAGTGTTAATTAAAATACATTCATAGAAACACTTTTATAACAACATACATAGTGTCATATTGAGGATGATCACAGTTTGTGTGAAAGGTCTCAATAGAAATAAGTTGTCTAGTTTTGATATCGGATCAGTTGAAAGATTTTCAGCTATAACTTTAAGCTAAATATAAAAAGTTTAATCACCACACATTGGAAATATGTTATATAAAATTTCACATTTCTTGCGATATTAATCCACCCGGACGGGTCTAAAGGTCCCCAAAATTTTGTATAATACTCCGTAATAACTATTTTGTTTCGAAGAGATTTCAGATTAAGACAATTTTATGCTAAATAAATATTTTGTTTTGAATCTTTGTAGACACAGAAGTAAATATTGAGACCATAGTTTCGAAGTGTCAAGATACCGGTACATACATATTTACCCCTTTGCTGTAAAACTGCCGAACCTGTTCGATCTGCGTATCGTTGTTCGATCTGAGTATCGTTGCATCGATTGCTGCTAATTTACTTTAATCGAAAGTTATAAAACTCATCAGTTTACCTGTTTGCTGTAAAACTGCCGAACCTGTTCGATCTTCGTATCGTTGTATCGCGATACATTTATATTTACACTCAACAAGTTCGTTTCATTAATTGCAGAGAAAAAAATACCGAATACTGTAAATTTTCTTAATTCGAAAGTTATAAAACTCATCATTTTACCCGTTTGCTGTAAAACTGCCGAACCTGTTCGATCTTCGTATCATTTATAGGTTGCATCGAGAAATATTTAAATTTAGACTCAACAAGTTCGTTTAATTAATTGCAGAGAAGAAAACAATGATTCATGCTAATCTACTTAAATCGAAAGTTATAAAACTCATCTGATAGTTTATGAATCCATCAATATGGTTTAAAAAAAGGGTGAGTACAACAGATTTTTCATAAATTACTTTAACTTATCTAAATAAATAGTTATAAATTTCCAAAAATGGAACAACTTCTTAAAAACACACATCAATATAATTCCCCAATTCATTAATAGTTTTTCTAAAACGCGGACGAATAGAAAATTATAGTTTAATAAAAATCGGTTTGGTATCGTTGTATGTTGAAACTTGTTGACCCTACACCACTATAGTGGGGATCCTATTTAAAATCTTGCCTCCATAGAATCGGCTACCGAATAGAGCGTAAACTTAAATTTTGAATACCCCTTATATTTATTATACATAAATGTGTTAATTATCCATATGAATCAAGAGTAGAGTATAGAAAATAATTTAATTGAAAAAAAAAAAAAAAAAAAAAAAACGAGAAAAAAGTAACAATCATGTACAATGAATGGCTTTTTATTGTTCGAACAAGAAAACAAGTAAAAAAAATCCGGAATAAGCAA